ATTAGTGGTAGACGGGGTTGCGGACAAAGATATTATCCTACTATTCATGCAAGCGTGACTGTAACACCCATTAATAGATGGCTTCAAAGACATTAAAGTATAATTAATTACTTATGATAATTTTTCCGAAAATGCATGTTAACATGTAGGCTTTACGATTTATAATTTTACATTATATATGTTATATATATATATTGTTTTATAGCTGTGTTTCCATCCTATATGTGAAAACAATTATTTTTAATATATTAATACAAACGTGATTACTAGCAAGATCTGATTTTATTTCTTGACTATAATTATATATTAGAATTATCTTAGGAAAATTGTCCTGTAAGAGCTAAAGGGATACAATAAAATAATTTCCCCATTAATTTCACATCCATGGAAAAAATTTTAAATCTTTTTTCAGCTTACGCGAAATGCGCTTACGGCATAAGCTTGCGTGAAGGTTATATTAGCGTCAAAAAATCTTATAGCCCATTTGTACGTTTGTGACTGGTCAGTGTATAATCCTAACAAGAGCACAAGTAGCTAATTTGAATGTAATAACATAAGTATAAAGGAGTTCATTTTCAATCCGTACATTCTATTATCTAGCTCATTCTGTCGAGTTTTTTTTCTGCAGTAGCTAATAAGATTGTATTCAGCCTTTGTTCCGGAAACAGTACTTGGACAATTTGCAGCGAATATATTCCTTGGCTGTTAGGTCTACAATTGCACTAGAGATAGAAGTAAATCCTGATAAATTACTCTCGTAAGCACTAGCCGTTATAACTTGATTCATAATCAAGTACCTATTCATCTATTTCGGCATTGGTTAATAGCTGAGAATCCCATCAAGTATATTAAAATTTATTTAAATCAGACTAACAAGTTGCTTTCAAACCCTAACTCAAATTAGGGACTTCAGTGCAGTAACTTACTGCACTCACTATGCTTGGTGTTAATTTGGTGGTACCGACAGGAGTTGAGTACTCTCTCAATAGAAGGTTGATTTAAAGACATTTTAGTTATTTGTTGTTTATACGCTTTTATTAGGTGCAATTTCGTCCTTTAGAGTGCCAATATATCTTTTGCAGATGCTATTTGCTTTTTATCGCTATTTTTCTGCTTCAATAAGTTAAAAACTACTAATCTACGCTGATTAAGCTTCTTAAACTGTCAATCGAACGTCTGCATTTATTTTTATCGAGATTGTCGCTTTACTCGAGTAGAAATTCCGATTAAAAATTGTCAGAAATATGAGTTTCCGCAGCTCATTGGCTTTCTTTAACCAAGAAATTTTGAATATACCCACTTTACTGTGTTATAGAGAAGGGTATGCATAATGAGAAACGTTATCAAGATAGAAATAATTGTTATAAGATATGTTTAACGCTTTATACAGTATAAACTCTAAATAAAGTCCCTTATTACCAGTCCCTTTTCAGATGATTGTAAATGACACCCTTGTCTCCATAATGGTAGTTCCTCTGCTAGCTTAGCCACTTCTAATAATTGCATCATGCTTGAAATTAATGTTATCTACCATCAATAATGCTAGATTAGGATCCATGTAATCCAATATCAAGTAGTCGCAGTAGATAGCTATATCTCTTCAGGGAATAAATATCAATGTCAATGAAAGATTTGCTTTACACGATAATGGCAGCAGATCTTGCTAAGTAGTTGTATATTTCCGTAAAGTTGCCAATGAGTTCTGCTATTGTGATGTTTCGGAAGATTGTGGATTCGTCATGATCACAGTAAATTACCAGAGTTAATTTAGTAGAGGAATAGAGTTTATTGGAATTAGTGCAAAGGAAAAACCATATGAGATTACAGCGTGTATAACGACGTGACTAGTCGAATAGCTATAGTAATGTAGCATAGGTAAAGCGTGCAAGCTTACCGTGTAACTAGCAGAACTAACTAACGAGATAGGTGAAAGAAGATAGCTTTTATAATGTATGAAGCACAGCAGGAGGAAATCATAAATGACTAATAAGAATATGTTACTTCTATGTTAAGACAGGGCTACGATATAATTCAGCTAGATTCAAAGCGATTTCCACAGAGTATTTTGTTAAATATAAATTATACATATTTAGAGTTATGCTACAATCTAGTGGAAATTGACTTTTACTAAAAATAGACTATACCGTATTTAGAAGTAAACACTACAGCTATTAGTGATTAAAATGGGCTATTTGTATAAGATTTGCAGTCGTCATCAGCTAATTAGCATAAATTTTTCCCTTTTGTAAATGAGATCATTCCATCTAAGATAGAATAATAAATCATGAACTCATATCAAAGCGAGCATGATAGATTTGTATGCTTAAAACATGCAGGTAGCAAGCCAATCTTTGAAGAAAATTGAACATGATAATCTCGGTACCGATAAGTTTTACTTTTTGCACATGTTTTCTTTTCGTAAATTAATGAATAAGCTTACTTATTTAGACCAATACGAACCTTCGTAGGCTATTGAAAATGGACCAGTATAAAAGTCGGCATTATTGATCATTAATAGATACAACATTATTTACCAAGATCGCCATATTACTCATATAGATTCAATAGCCAAATTATACTTGGCATGTAAGTATTAAAGCATCTCACAAATTATAGATAGGATTAATATAATTTTCAATCCACGTAAAAGTCAAAGTAAGGCTTATTGGAATTTTACCTTGTCTAGTCTAATCAATTTTTATACAGACTCTTCTTTCATCACTTAATAAATTCTACGCGAAATGTCCATTAATTTTTGAAAGAAAAAATAATATCAAGCAACGTAGAGCGTATTGCTCTATGTATTTATACAAATCCGTTGTTACTTATATATTTATTGAGTCTACAATTGATATGGGATGATATGTTATTATTCTTCAATTCACGTAGCGAAAAGATCATCATTTTAACATATGAGTAATGTTGGATCTTGTTGATAAGTTACATATTTTAAACAAGTTGGAGACAAGTTTTACTATCGGTGATTGCGGTATTTTTAAGAGATCTCGTAATCTCATGCCATCATATCGGCACAAATGTTTTCCCTCTTATAAATAAGATTATTTCATCAAGATAGAATAATTAATCATTAACTTATCCTTCAATGCTAACGCCATAGAGTTCTATGTTTAGAAGACTTAGCCGCAAGTTTTTTGATTGGAAGAATTTGGTTCGTCAATTTCAGTCTGCTTTACTACATGTGATAAAATACATTTTCTTTTCGAAACTAATAAATAAGCATACTTATCAGGCTATCTATTCTTACTTTTATCTTCGAAATTAAAGAAGACGTTCACACTTTAGACTTGCATAAAACATCTTAAAGCACTGAAAATATATTGATACCAAAGCTAACAATTTTTACGTCACAAGCTTTGTCTTTTGGATCTTTATTGAATCTACAGTCGATATGGGGTGATAAATTATCTTTCAATTCACGTAAATGCAAAGACGAGCATCATTACTTTAAGAAGTTATCAAACTCATGCTCAGAAGTCGTATACTGTCATAAAGTTGATTATGAATTTCACTATCGGTGAATATACGCTATTTGTTTGATCGTCGTCATCTTGCCGGTATGCATATTTTTTCACTTAAAATGAGATTATTTCATTTAGGATAGAATAGTAAATCATTATCTCCTCCTTCAAGATCACTATGGTAGATTTATATATTTAGAATACATATGAAACAAGTTGGTAATTGGGAAAAATAAATTTAACACGTCTATTTTAGTCTGCTATCCTAAATGTTGATAATTTATTTTACCATTTTGAAATTAATAAATGAGCATACTCATTAGACTATGTAATTAACATTTTTTTACAATTACGTGTTTTTTCTCAAGGATTAAATTCACTGATGTAACACAGTTTACCTACATTGCCATATAGTAGATTTAATACCGAATTATACCTTGTACGCAAAAAAATTAAAAAAACTAAAGGCTTGCGGAATTCATTAATTTATGTACAAGTTAAAAGTAAGCCTTATTCAAATTTAGTCCGTCTAATTTAATTGGTTTTACAAGAGCCTACTTTTTATCACTTAATAAATTCAAGACGAAATTTTCATTAGTTTTAGAAAGAAAATTTAACGAACCGCAAATTTAGGGAGTATTGCTCTATATATTTATACGGATTAGTGGTTATTTAGATCTCCGTTTAGTCTAAACATGCTATTATTCTTCTATTTACGTAAGAAATGATGATGGCTATTATTTGAACATTGTATCAGGTGATGCTAAGAAGTTGCATATTTTCATCTAGTTGATAATGAGTATTAGTATCGGTGATTATATTTCGCTTTTTGTGTGAGACTTGTATGATTATTGCAGTTCTCATCATCTTATTAGCTAGAATATTTTTCTTCTTAATAGCAAGTTGGCATTTGGAAAAAATAGATCCGTCAACTTCACTTTACTTAATTGAGTGTTAATGCTGCATGCTTTCTTTTTCGAAAGTAATACATAGGTATACTCATTAAGACCGTAAGCATTTGTTTTCTTCCGATTCGAAATTAATAGATTTTCCCTTTAGACTGATATAAATATTTATAAGCCAGAGGAAAGGTATGGATTTTCCCCTTTAGACTAATATAAACATTTGTAAGTTAGTGGAAATGTACATATAAAAGCCAACAATTTCTTATTATTGCAAGTTTTGTCTCATCGATCCACTTCAACTGATGTAACGCACTTCACCTATATCGTTATATGCATATTATATAGATTTAAGTACCGAAAGATACATTGTTTGCAGGTATTAAAACTTCAACAACT